CCGATGCCTTCAATGAGACCAGGTTCCTCACCTTCAGCATGCTGCTCTTCTGCAGCGTCTGGACAGCCTTCCTGCCCCTGTACCACAGTGCACGGGGCAAGGCCACGGCAGCTGTGGAGGTCTTCTCCATCCTGGCCTCCACTGCAGGACTGCTGGGTGGCATCTTCCTCCCCAAGTGCTACCTCATCCTGCTGAAACCTGAGCAGAACACCCTGTCCAGGCGGAGGATAGGTCACCATGCTCAGTGTGCTCCAGTTTCTCACAGAAACATTTACCCCTAGGTGCCTAGCACAGTTCCCTTGAGCCAGTCCATGACGATAGCACGAGGACCCTAGGACTGAGCTCATGGTTTCCGTGTGGGTTTATAGAGAGCTATTGAGCGGATCAGTCTTCTAGGGCAAGATAGTGAACAACAACAAAGCTGGATGTGTGTGTGACCTCTGGCTGCTTTTTTTGTTTTGTATTTATACAAGTAAAAATGTTAGAGAAAGGCAAAAAAAATACTCATGACAGCGATGATGATTTGAAGAAAAATGTGGTGAGCAGGTAGAAAGTTGAAACACTCTTTCACTCCTGTGGGGTTGGATAATGCACCAAGAAGATTAGGGGTTAATCAGAAGATTAACCCTAGCCCTAATGTATAACCAGCAGTTCTACTCATAAATACTCAAGAGAAATATGTATCCAGTAGTGGAAATGAATGTTCATAAAAGCATGTATAAGCCAAAATGTCCCTCAGCCCGTGAGTGGATAAACACGTATGAACTGTTCATAATGAAATGTTTGGCAAGAAGAGGGAATGAAGGACTAATATATGGCACAACATAGACGAACCTTGAAAACATTATGCTGATTGAAGGAAGCCAGAAAGGAATGACACCATATGGTACGAGATTCCGATGCTATGAAGTGTCCCAGGATAGGCAGATCCAGGGAACAGATTATAGAGTAGTGCTTTCCTGGTGATGGAGGCTGGAGACCCGATGTTGGGGTGATAACTAAGAGAAGCATTTGTTTACAGGGAAATGAATTTCTAAAATTTACTTTGGTGATTGTTGCCCAATTGTGTATAGGTAGTCAAAAATATTAAATGGCTACATTAAGTGGATTCATTATATGATATATGAATTAAATATTTTATTGAAGCTACTACTGAAAAAAGGAACAAAATCAACCATTACAAAGTATGGGCATTGATTATATCTGGGTATTTGTAGATGGGGTACTTGGAAACTGAAAAGGAATAAATAGTACTACAAGGTAGCATGTGCATAAACCTTGGAAACATTTTGCTGAGTGAAGGAAGCCAAATGCTGACTAGCACATGTGGTGAGATTCCCTTTATATGCAATATCCCAAATAGACACTGTCCACAGACAGAATTGGGGCCCTTTTTACTGACCTACGTGTGTCAGAGTTTAGTAGAGGAACAGATTTATATAAAGTAGTCGTCTTACAGTGGCACTTAGTCAGAGAGAGACATGCACGAGCTTGCTGTCTGTGTGCTGGGAGCTGGACAATGCGGGTCAAGTTCAAAGATGAGGAGCTCACTGCAGACTCCAGTGCAAGTCTGCATCAGGAAGTCAGAGAGTCTGCATTGGAAGGCTGAAGCGTCTGTGAAGGAACAGGGGAGACATGTCCACAGGCAAGGGCAAGGACCAGAGGTCCTCTGAAGATGCAAAGGGAAGACTTCCTTTTTCCCATTTTCATTCCATCCAGGATACAAGCCTGTGGCTCGGAGCCATCCATAACCAGAATGGGTCTTCTCTCCTCAGTTTGTGACCTACACGCCAGCCATCCACAGACAACCCCAGAACTGTGCTCCACTAATCCACTAGACATTTCTTAATCCACCTCTTTTTATGTCACACTTAGTGACCACAGTCCACCCCTTGTCAACTGGACAACAAGACACATCTCCTTCAGCGACGCTTAGTCTCCAAATAGAATAGTAAGTTTACAATTGTGCCTAACACGATACAACTCTGTTGTGCACAAATGGAAACATGTTTCCTCCTCAGAATAGAAGGCACAGTTTGTCTTTCGGGAATGATTACTCGTCTCCTAACATTCCGTAGCTTAAATATAGAGTTTTAGCAATATTTAAGAAGAGATGCCAGTTCTACCACTGTTATGGTACAAGGAAAGAAAACAAACACACCTACTTAATGTATGGGTATATATGCACAAGCATATTAACAAAATAGGAAAGAAAACCCACAGGCCTTTCTGTAACTGGTCATGTGGTTGTAGTTAGTATTTATAACTACCACCTTCTACTACCTATTCTTTACTACCTTGGTGTTCAGCTAGTGCCCCAGCGAGCCTTAGTTCTTGACTTGGCACAGGGTGACCCACACCTCATTCCTCAAGGTTCTGGGGAATTTATCATCCTTCTCGGACTGGGTGTTTGTTGTTTCCTGTCTTAATAACCGGGCATGGTAACACTGGGAGGTGCTCTAAGGGGTCTCCTTCACTCCACGTATGTCCTTCCTTTGCTCCATTGTATGGTGGGAGTCCAGTGTCCCCTTGGTAATCTGCATCAGTCACCCCCACCAGCACGATAACCACCTTTTTAGGTTGTTTATGCAGAGGAATGAGGAGCACAAAGTGACCAGAAGGAAGCTGCATTCAAGGAATCCTTATTCTGCTTCCTGGTGCAGGTCTTCCCCCCGTGGAACTAAGACTTTGAGCCAGAAGAATGTAAGGTTACAGAACAGGAAGCCAACACTTTGTGTGTGGATCGCTAGGGGGAGCGGTGAGTGGCACTATTCCCACTTCCAGCCCTTGATTCCTGGACCCGCGGATCCTCACCGCAGAAGGGAAAATACCATATACTGAATGCTCATTTAAAGCACATGCAGCCTTCTGGAGAACCTTGACTGAGCCCTGCAAGGTAGTGCCACCTAGCTGGCACTGTAGTGGCATCTGCAAAAGGCTGTTTCACCATTCTATCTCTCCAACTGCCCCTGGAGGTTGAGGAACATGAGGCCAGTGAATCGCGTCAGCATAAGCCCATTGCTTCACTTCTTTGGCCCTGAAAAGAGTTGTTTTGTCAGAAGCCATGTTGTGTGCCATACCATGATGGTGGGAAAGGTATTCTGTTAGTCCATAGGTGGTGGTTTTGGCAGAAGCATTGTGTGCAGGGAAGGCAAGTCCATACCTGGGGTAGGTGTCTCTGCCATAAGGCAAAGCGGTACACTTTCCATGATGGAAGCCGGCCAATAAATCAACCTGCCAGCAGGACGCAGGCTGATTGTCCCAGACAGTGCTGCTGTATCAGACTCTGTGTTGGTCTCTGTTGCTGGCCTGTGTGCTGGGCATCCAGCCATGGCTAGCGCCCGATCAGCTTTGGCGAGAGTCCATGTTGCTGAACCTATGAAAAACCTCCATCCCTGATACCATGGCCACTTTGTTCATGAGCCAGTTAAGCAAGGGCGGGCTGACGAGGAAAATCCTTGACTGCTCTCCACCAAAAGGACCGTCTATCCACTTGATTATTGAATTATTGCTCAGCCAGAGTCACCTTTTGGTGAGCATGTTTATATCCTTAACTCATGCACGGAAGTCTCTCCACATACTTCTTAACTATTTTGTCATCAAGTTTCCAGTCATGTTCCCTCCAAGTCCCTTACCTTCTGCCGGATCACTGGCCACTGCCTATTAGTCAGAACATAGTTGTATATCTGGCCACTTTTTCTTCCAAATAAAATGTATGACCAGGTGCACACGCTGAAGTTCCACGTACTGTAACAATTTTCCTTCTGCACTGTTTCCAGGGAATTTTTGGAAAGCGGTTGTAGTACTTCAACCGTGCACTTTCAGGTATTGCCTTCATAACATGGGGACCATCTGTGAACTAGGTCCTTGTGTCTCTCCCTGTGAACTGGTGATAGGGTACATAGCATGAGGCTGGGAGTGCATGCTGGGACAGAATACACTATAGCAGGAGTAGGAACCGTGTGCATTTGGGCAACTTCATGTAACTCGTGTCCTCTGGACCTGCTCAGGCCTGATCATGCATATTCCACTTTCATTTCACGATAGACTGCAACTGTGTATGTCCAGCGCTGTGACCGCCTGATAGTATCCAGTTCACGATGGGTAGCTCAGGTGCCTGGCAACCTAGTGTCCAGTGATCAATTGTTCATTTTCCATCAAGGTCCAAGTGCGGACCATGAGCTGTTTTGCAAAGGGAGTGTAGTCGTCTGCAGATGATGGCAGAGCCTCGCTCCAGAATCCTAAAGGCCTCTGATGTGATTCACCAATGGTGGCCTGCCAGAGACCCCAAACAGAAACGGTCTTCCACTGATGCATCAGGTACCTTTGCATGTGCTGGATATGTGGCCCCAGTGACAGAGCAGCCTCCATGCCCTCTCTTGTTCATTCCAATCTAGCAGCTTTTCAAGCCATTTGATACATGGGCAAGAGTAACACACCTAAGTGAGGGATGTACTGACTCCAAAATTCAGATAGTTCAGTAGACACTGTGCTTCATTTTTGGTTATAGGGGGAGCCATATGCAAGAATTTCTCTTTCATCTTAAAAGGATTTCTTTGTAGGCCCCATAGAACTACACTCCTAGGAATTTCACTAATTGGAAGGGCTGGAATTTCAGTTGGATTTCTTTCCCATCATCTGGCACACAAATGCTTCACCAAAGAGTCCCAAGTGATAGCTACCTGGCTTTCTCTTGGTCCAGTCAACATAATGTTATCAGTGTAATGACCAATGTGATAGCTTGTGGAAGAGAAAGATGATGAAGTTTCCTGCCAACTAAGTTATGATGCACGGCTGGAGAGTTAATGTAGCCCTGAGATAGGAAAAGAAAGATGCATTGCTGGCTTTCCCAGGTGAAAATCAATTGCTTCTGGTAGGAGTTATAGATAAGTATGGAGAAAACTGCATTTCTTTAATGCCTCCCGGGTACCAGGAGATGTGTTCATCTCCTCAAGCAAGGAAACCACCTCTGAAATTGGATCCACTACTTGAGTAAGCTAATGGCAGTCACCATCATTCTCCAAGGGTCATGCTTCTTCTGCCTAGGCCAAACAGGAGAGTTAAGTTGGGATGTCGGGGGGAAACACCATTCATAAATCTTCCAAGTTCTTGGTGATGGCAGTAATCTCTGCAATACCTTCCGGGATGTGTGATTGTTCTTTATTTACTTTTTTCCCAGGTAGAGGCAACTCTAATGGCTTCCATTTAGCCTTTTCAATGAAATTAGCTCTCACACTACAGAGTAGGGAGGCAATGTAAGGATTCCACCAGGTACAAAGTCTATCTACCTCAATTATGCATTCTGAAACTTGGGCAATGACCACAGGATGAATTTGGAATCACACTGGACCCATGTGGGCCAGACACTGGCGAAAGCTCCATTGACCACCCGAGCTCCATGGGCTCCTATCCTTGCTGGAATGCCACAGTGACATTTAGATATCCCGGAATCGGCTTTAGTTCACAACCAGTACCCAATAGTCCTCTACATGTCTAATACTCTACCTTCCCGAGTAGACAGTTACCCTGGCAAAAGGCCTTAGAAACGTTGGAGAACAATGGCAGAAAAGTTGCAGTATAACATTTGGCAGTGCACCAATGTCCTTCTAAGGGGACCCAGGCTCCTGTTCATCCAAGGGATTTTGGTTCTGTAAGGTAGCTCAATCGTGGGAATTGGTTGAAGGTCTTTCATTCTCTCTTGCTACAATTTGAGTTGATTTGTTCATTTGCCCTAAGATATTTTTCTTATATATTTTTTTCTTACACAATATTTTTGTAATACAAATATTTTTCTTAGTACAGTTTCTGTAGGCTTTCTCTTTATTTTTCTTTTGGGAAAACCCATGAGCCATCAGCGAGCTCCATTGTCTACGTGTGTCATGCAGTTCTCATCATTGCTTTGCTTCTACTGCCCTGGGTGGGCAATGCACACACCTTGTGTGCAGCAGCTGAGTGCTGCCACTTGACCTCTGCTGCTCTAAAGTCGAGTCCAACCCATTGCACTTCTGGGTCCCCAGTGAATACCTGTAACACCTGGCATGCAGCGTGCAGCAACAGCAGAGCTCTTCAAGCATGCTGTGCCTCTCTCGCCGGTCTGTTTATGAAGGT